AGATGGCTGCTGCATGTCAGTCTTTCTGCTGCCACCTACTGTACGACGTCACTTTTAGTGCCTCTTCCTCCGGGAGCTTTTCAGTGTATTTAAAGTGGTTTCCTAATAGTTTAAGCCAGATTAAACGCTAGGTTAATAGCACGTAGATAACCTTTTGTTTTATGTGTCCCTGGGTGTCGCGGACAGCGTGTTTTCCAGGCCGAAACATTTTCAAATCAGGGTGCTAAGCCGACTGAAGCCCATTTTCAGCAGTGTTTACAAGCCCCGGATATGCTTTTAATGCAAATCATTCAGCGTACTGATTACTCACCTACGTCCACCTCCCCCACCACCACCACCACCACTTCCCAAATTCCAGTTAGAAATCACTTTGAAGTTCCACCCCTGAGTGGAAAAAAGAACCCACTGAAATATTTACACTTTAGTCACTTCTCTCAACAAAGGATCTAAGCCAGAATTCCTTCTCGTGGGAGCTTGAATTACCGCCGCTTCCTTTGTTTTGATTCATGTGAGGAACTTTTCTAATCTGATTACTTGGGGGGTGCGTTCTGAAGTTCACACCGAAGGCAGACAGATAGTCATCGGTGGCTGTCAGCTCAATAATTCGCCTTCATGCGGGGAGCAGAGCAGGATGGAGAATTACCTCCTAATTCCCTCCGCACATACTGTAGCCTGACATTTATCCATGATGCGTTTTCACACTTTAAGAAGGGCTCAAACTCACACAAACAAGCCCGCTTGCACACCAGATTCTTTTAACACCTCCAATTAAAAAAAAAGAGGCCGCGTCCAAAAGCCCTGTCAAGAGCCAAATCCCCAAACGCTTGGCCCGTTGCCCTTTTTTCGTCATGTGAAACCAAGTGGCCAAACTTCCTCCCCGGAGGGCCGAGGTGGGGATGGATGATGGTTCAAAGTGACTCTTATTGGGGGGAAAAAGGCACATAAATACCTCTTTGGAGAAATGTCCTTTACACTTGTGAGGACAGAGAAGTCAGAGGTCACAAGTATGAATTCAGTCCCATCATCGCTCATCAGTGCAGCATATGACCTTAGGAGGACTAGCATACTGTAAGGGAAGAGCAACAGGTTGTTTTGTGAGGCTACTACTTCTACGTTGCCTCAGAGGTTTGTGTGGAATAAAGAAAAATAATTTGGTGCATATATAATAGAGACGATGCCCTGAAACTACGATTCTGTTTTACATAGCTGACAAACTTCCTTTAAGATCGACTTTTACCTTGTTGACGTGTCTCTATGATGCTTCTTATAGAATGGAAGACACATCATTAGAGAAATAAGCTTTCTGCTTTGAAACTGCAGCGTATCGATAAGTCTCAAAAACACACATTCAGACTTCTGCTTTCATGGATAAAGAACCGATCCTGCCAACTTACGGGGTGCCAGTTTCAATATCATTATTCTTTAGAATTAGTTTCTGGTTCAAACGTTTCCATTGTTGGTGTAGAGTAGTGTTACAGCGTCTGAGCAGAGTTGTAGGTGAGCTGGTGTGCTTGACCTGCAGCGGGTGGGGACTTTGTGTATCTGTATGAGCATTACTTGATAAGGAACCCAGACTAGAGGAGAAATTGTTCATTCTGGTTGGCCTGAGGTCAGGAGGGGTATTCATGATCTTGGGCATCCAGTTTTTAATTTCAGCAACAATGGATATAATCTGAGCAATGGAGAACAATGTTACATCTATGAATGAAAGCCTAAGGAATAGCAAGTACAGAGTAAAGTCATGGTTTTAAACAGGTTTTAACCGTTTTGCTGTTTTAACAATGTTGTTTTGCTAATTACACATAATACATATTAAAGTATTAAATGACATGATAACAGTAAATAAAATAAATCACATCAGCTGCAAAAGTTTGTATTTTTACAACTGATTTGTTCTTTTAAAATGTTTGACTAAAAAAACACTTTACCTTTCATTGTATTTAAATGTGCAAAGAATATTGTAATTTTACAAAAAGAATTGTGTATATTAAAGGCTGAAGAATGCTAAATCATTTTAACATGTTATTTTTACAGTACTTCACTGTGTTGTTAAAATAACATATCTCCAATGACAAAAAAATGTATTACTTTAAATATTGACTGTAAAAAACAAAACAACAAAAAGAGGTCAAAACCGAATATAATGCCCACATCAAAAACCTGTATTTTTTTTTAGAAATAGTAATTTGTTCTTTTTCAGTCAATTACACCATTCTAGTTCTTTTGAATATTTTTTTAAACATATCTTCCCGAGCATACTGTCAGATTTAGTTGTATCTAGTGAAGAAGATGGGACCCAAAATAGACCCCTGGGGGACTCCACTGAAGACAGGAATCTTCCAGCATTATGAAAAGGACCTGCTGACAGTTAAACCAAGCCAGAGTCACATCACTGATGCCAACAACATTCTTCAAGATGTTGTGGTCTGTTACATTGAAGGCTGAACTGCGGTCAAAGAGGATAATGGCAAACAATGAGGCCTGTTAAATGCAGCCGTGCTACTGATATATACAGCTGGTGTACAATGTGCAGTGAAATTGAAGCAATAACAGACGATCGTGTCAATTGTCCAGATGGACACAGAAGCGAGATAAGCCAATAGCTGGACCTGTTCAGAGCCCTGCACCAGTCACAGGTGGATCGATGCTGTGACAGCCCACAGGGGCCTCCATTAATCAGCCAGCAGCAGTCCTGTCCAAGTCTCTGCCCACACAAGAACACTAGGAAAAACACTCACACACACACACACTGCACCTATAGGTGTAATTGCTGACCATCACACTTGGCAGTCGGATCCACAGAGTGAGCCTTTCAGCCTGACAGCTTCTGAACCCAGGACCTGGGCCCAGCAGCAATAAGAGGCTGAAGCCGATGCGTCACTGCTCAGCAACAACTGTGGCCTTTTCTCACAGCTATCAGCCACTGCATCAGACAGAACCAAGATAACTGCACCCAGACCCTTTTCCACATGAGTTTTCTCCCTTAAAAAGACATGGAACTTTGAGTGTGCTGCTCTTTAAACACACCATCAAAGTTTCACCATTAAACCCCTCCTCGTATCAGATTTAGATTAACTTGACATACAGTAAATTACAGCAAAGGGAAAAAAAAGGGGGAAAAGATTTCAATCCGATTCAGTTGCCGCACAAGTAACCCGAGCCATTTGTCCCCGCCGCCGTAAGACTTCATCTAAAGCATGTGTCGCAGTGTTCCCCTCACTGAAACAAATGCCATGCGACATGATCTAAATGTGGACCACCCAATAATCAACACCTCTTCTTCTGGCAGCCACTCAGAGTGACCTGCAAAAGTTCTCCCTCTGTTCTCTCCAAATCTGCTGTCCACTACTGCCACCATGTGGAAGCTGTAAACACTAACGTTCTGGTGTGAGCAAGCGCCACATAAGAGCAGAGCGTCGCCATGGGTGGAGCGCAGTGACTGGTTTTCTGGTCGGCATAGTTGTGTGTGGCAGGAATTGCATGGGTTTAATTGCGACACTGTGGGGACTGACAATAATTTCTTTAAAGTGCGTCAGCGGCATTCTGCTGCGGTGCTGCTGGTGGATAAGAGACTTTTCTATGGAAGAAATGACCAACAGCTATTGTGTTGATTGTTTTGTAAAGGCTTACAGTCTACTTAATGTCTCCTACAAAGGCCTTACCGAAGATCTTTGCACCTAATCCAGCTAACAGCCCTCATCTTAGGTCAATGTGCACCTACAGTAGTAGTGATAAGGCCCCGTGCTTCATGTGCTATAAAAATATCACAAATATTTAGTCTAAGGGTTAAGAATTAAGAGAACGTGTGGGTGCATTGTTGTATCTGTTATGTACATGAGAGGAACTGAATGTTCTACACATGACACAGACCTGAAACAACTTTGGAGCTGGCATCAAGGGGAATAAAGTTAACAGTGAAACAGGAACGTAACAGTAGAAAATGTCCAACTACTACCGCATGGGCATCATCACTGCCACATGCCGAGTACATTTCTCGATTTCAACTTTACTGATGTAATGCTAAAATTCTTTATAATCTTGCAACCCTTGACTACTTAGGCAGCAGCACTACTGGAAGGATTAGAGCAAGAGACGGCGATTGGTCAATCTGTCCTGTCAGCTAAATCGAAGGGGAACAAACACGACAGACTCAGGATGTTTTGCAATGTTTACAACCAGCCTCAAGCTTTGACCGAACTGTGTCATCACCAACAATCGACTTTACTGATTAGGTTTAGTACCTTAGACTGATTAACTTGTCTTGGTTGTGTAATTGTTGTGTCTCTCTGCCCAAAGACAAAGTGTTGTACTACAAAGCAAGATCAGTAGGTTATCAAGATATGTGGAGACTAAAGTCAGAATTTCCAGCGTCACTAAGGTGGCTCTCTCTCGTTGGGAGATATTTCATGAATAACTGCAGGTTCTTCTGATTTGTAAATTAGAGGCAATTTGTATTTTACATAACATTACCAGTTGAGTTCGTCAGGCCAATTTGTACCACTTTAATACAGTTCCTTAAAACTAAACTGTTTCAGCCCCAATCCGCTGCTTTTTTTTTTTTTTAAACCACCATCAAAAAAAAAGGTATCTGCACATTTGATCTTTTTTTCAATGTTCCATTACTGGTACTGTCTTTACTTATGTTAAATGATCTGTTCCTTCTTTCTTCTTTCTTTACTTCCATATTTAACAGTGAAACTTTATAAACTCCAGTCTTAAGGTGCTGTAAGGATTATTTTATCACTATTATTAAGAAACTATTTGGGTAAGTTTGCATCAGAGATATTAACCTCACACTTTCATTTTGCAATGTCAATTCATAATAGACCTACTTTAAACAAAAATGAAAGTAAACTCACCATAGTGCAGTGTCTTGATCCTAAAACCAGTGAGGAAAATTAACACCAGCCTCATTTCTTTATTGGAAAACAGTTTGGCTCAAAGGCAGTGATGTAATCTTTTCACTAAAGCATGTTGAAAGTCATACAAAGACCACATGGTTGATTTATGATGTAACAGAAGTTTATTGAACAAACTCATGTAATAAATTTCCAAAATCTGTATGAATCACTTAAATAAATCATATACAACTTCACTCACTTTAGCATTAATTGCACAAACATTTATACCAGATTGCAACAAAAATACTTATTTAACCTTGAGGGAATCTGAACCAGCGATGCTGGGGGTGGGGGTGGGGGGGTGCTTTAAATGTCACCTTGTATCAGCCAGGTGAAGACCGACCGCCTTTTGCTCTGCTGCTCCTTCAGCCGAGCTGTGTGTCCTGGCAGGGGTCACCTGGAAAACGCTGAGACAACAGTGACTGTGGAAAGCACTTGTATTCATCGCAACACAATCGACTTGTGCCATCAATGACAATGCAGATCAACAAAATACCTTCCCGGGTTTACCTGGATTTTACAATCCGCGGTGTAGACCGGAGCTGAGGGCGGTTTCCTCCGGGCTCAGGAGCGCTCCCTAGCGGTGGGGAGGCAGCGCAGCGAAGCACCGCTGTGGGATAAATAAAGCCCAACCATGAATCACGCACTATTATCAGATTGCACCACATGGCCTGGGCTACACAACTAAAATGTCATCAGGTGCACACATGACAGTCATGCAACATATTTACAAGGCAACCATTCACACCTTTTTCATATTGAAAAGTCTCTGCTCGGGGAAGAAAGGCCACGCCAGTCTGTCACGTACGCCACGTAGACCAGTTCGTTCCGGTTACCAAGTCAGTGCAAACACTTCTTCAAAGTCCCTCTGCTGGAAATCAAGGCAGCTGTCACAGTCCGCATCCAGAGCCGCGGACACACTGCTTGGTGAAAGACATTCATCATACACATGTGCGGATGTTTCGTGCGGAGCTGATTCAACGTCTGCCTTCATGTCTCCGTACACGTTACTCATCAGGTACTGCGTGGTGTTCTTTGGCGCCATTGAGCCCGCCGCTGGATGACTGTGCGCCCGGGCCTCGGCGTGGTTTCCCGCACCCACGGCCTCCATCTCCTGCGTCGCGTCCAGGTCTCCCAACATGTTAGCCAGGTTAGCTAGCCGTACCCGTCTCTGCACCATGCGCTGGTATTTTCGGATGGCGGCGCGACTCTGCTTCGGGGCCTCGTCCTCCTCTGCGGACACACGGAACAGTCTCCACCTCAGTTTACAGCCAGGTTTCATCGTAGCTCTCCTCAGACAGTCGGTGTTGATGTGCTTCGACCTTGCAGCCATCGTTTCTCTACACATTTCTGACCATAAAGTAACTACACAGGAAACAAAAATGGCGGCTGAGTGAGTTAGTAGTTTTCGAAGTGGAAGCAAAAAATGTCCTCAGAAATATTAAAAAGTTTCTTTAAAGTCAAAAAATAACGTTTTCTAATAAGCTACACTTACGTATATGTAAAAAGTTGAAAACAAAAACAAACATTTCCTAAAATATCGGAGCTCTAACAACACGTCCTGCTCTAAGTTGTCTTTCTGCAAAAGTCCGTTAAAACGTAACGCTCACGTAGAGTTTTATAAGAAGAAGCACCCACAATCCTTTGCGCTGTGATGGTATCAGTGCGGCTGACTGACGGTGCTGCTGCCTACTGGTGTGGAATGAGAGAGTACACATAAAATATATAAAAATATTAAATAAATACGTTTCATTTTAATTTAAACGAGGGTTTAAAAATACGTAGTTATAGAATAAAGACAAATATATCTTTTAAATGTAAGAAAAAGCATTTCATCCCTACATCATGCACTACCGTCACAGAGGTTATAATTAAAAATGGCGTTACTAAATAAGCAAGTCATTGGGGAAAATAAAGTTAGGAAATTCGTCTTTAAAACAGTAATAATAATAAAATAATAATAATTTCAGATTTCTCTAAACTACTAGTGTTGAAAAAATACATTTTCCATTAAACAAAGAGCCAAAATGAGGGAAATATTTGTTTTCTAGTTTCATGATTGTATAATTTAGTGGCTTTGTTTATTTTTTCATAATATTGTTTCATTATGTTATATTAGAACACTTTGGCTACAGAGTATTGACAGTGCCGCTTACACTCAATGTGGCCATTATTTTAAAAATAAATAAATAAACAGGATATGAAAATAAATAAGTAATCAAGTTAATAATATCTTGCACCTCGATTTTTTTCTTTTATTTACTTATCAGGACAAAACACACTGATCAATATTTTTAGAAATGTGTTAGCCAGATGGTAATTTTCTTTTTTTTCTGCAATTCTTTGGCAAGATGTCGTGAGAACCATTCAATTATTACATTAACCTATAAAATGTGATCCCATCATTTTAACAGTAACAGTTTATTAGAGTTAATATAGTTTATAGCTAATCCATAATTTTATTTATCTAAAAATGTTGTATTTGACAACCTTTTATCGTATATTCCCAACCACAGTGGCTAATCGTATAAATTCAATTATTTTTTCAATCTATTTAATTTTTTTTATTTAACAACTGACTGTCTTGATGGTGTCTTTTTTTGTTTGACTATGTTGTAAATAAATCTTCAGTGGCATTGGCCAGAGCAGCCACTTCTGATTCTTAACCGCCACAGCTGCACAAAACAGATAACTGCTGTGTGGCCAGTACAGTCTTTCAAGTGAAAACCACTCATCCAGCTCCGTTTTGACCTCCACATAAGCGACTATACCGGTTGCAACAGGTTTGATTTGTTTTTGCAGCAGTGCCAAGTGAACAGTTTGACTACACAACAAACTCTTCTGCATTTTAATAAAATCTTGAGCCTGAAAGAAAACTGTGTCAACGTCATTTTAAACCGTATCATCTATGTGGTGTATAGTTTCTTATTGAGGTATTCAAGAACATCATGCATAATGCTCACAATCACAGTTAGACAGAAACATTAAGGGGACGGTCTTTAATATTCCAATAGCTGTTAATAATTGACCATTTGGAAGGCCTTCTAAGCTTGTGTACCACTAGATGGCAGACTACAACATGAAATGCATCTTCAGAGACAAACTGTTTTTAAAGTCGCACCACAGAGCTGCATATAGATAAGAGATGTCTGGTGTGTCTAAGTACAGATACTCTCTTGTGGATACCTGTTTATCTTGTGATCCTTAATGGCTTTTTATGAGCATCTTGAATGAGTGATCTCCTGAAGAAGGTCTGAGGCCTGTACTTCATGGATGCATTATAACAACCAGATACTGGACTCAGAGATGGTGAATTGCAGTTTTTTTCTCTCTCTCTCTCTCTCTCTCTCTTGGCACAAAAGCCCAAAACATTCCCTAGTTTCTGGGTTTGCTTCTGTGCTGTGCAGGTCACTGCACATAGAGTACACATTAGTGTTTTCCCCTGCTGGCCCCCGCCTGTGTGTTTCTGCCTGACCCAGAGACCTACAATGGGATGAAGTCATTCAAATAAAACTCACTTTTTTTTTGGCTTTGGGAAGCTTTTACAGCTATTACGCATTTTTTTTTAAGTAAAAGAAAGGGTAAAAACGTTTGCAGTTGGAGGTGTCCAGTTTTATAGACGTCTCTGTTATAAGGCAGTTTATTGGAGAAAATTCTTCTGGGCTGCAGGAGAGTTTTATCTGTGCTTCGTGTTGAACATTTTCACAAAGCGCCGCAGTCCTACAAACACTCCATCCTCAGTACAGTTAACACTGATAATGTTGACAGATTTGCCATTTACATTTTACAGGGAAAGTCAAGAAATGGGTCTCCTGTTAAACAAAAAGCAAGCTTCTCATTTCCAGGCACGACTGTGGCTTTCGAAAGCTAAAACAACCACGATATACTATAGAATACCAGCTGTTCCTTCTCACTGTAAGTTATTATAGACCCAAGGGTGTTGGCTGAAACATCTTTCCCCCCGACGACTACAAATGTTTCCAGATGATTTGTTTTAGAACGAGAAGGGTGTTAAATACGCATGCGATAGTTACACAACATGCCTTGATATCGCCACTGCCAGATGTGAGCTGGCCGTGCACAAACATGCTGCATGACTCACATCAATGAGAACTTTTGAGAGTTCAGCCAAAACACTAGTATTACATTTCTTGTATTTTCAGCTATGTCTAGTTGGTTGTGTGCTTTTGTAATATGCGTGTTTTGTGATTTACATTTGACACCAGAAGTTTAACTACACTGTAAAAAAAGACACATGACCTTTTTTTCTCACTGTCTGACATTAAATGTGACTAAACGTTTCCTGTTTTAGGTCAGTTAGGATTACCAAAATTATTTCTATTTGCTAAATGCCAGAATAATGAGAGAGAATTTTTAGAGATTTTTTTTACTACTTTCTTCAGAGTCAGAAGTTTACATACATTTCCTTAGTATTTGGGAGCATTGCCTTTAAACTGTATGGGTCAAACATTTTGAGTTTCCTTCCACAAGCTTCTCACAATAGTTTGCTGGACTTTTGGCCCATTCCTCCTGACAGAACTGGTGGAACTGAGTCAGGTCGCCTTTTCAGCTCTGCCCGTAAATTTTCTACAGGATTGAGATCAGGGCTTTGTGATGGTCTCTCCAAAACACTGACTTTGTTGTCCCTAAGCCACTTTGTAACTAATTTGGCAGTATGCTTCGGGTCATTGTCCATCTGGAAGACCCATTGGACCCAAGCTTTAACTTCCTGGCTGATGTTTTGAGATGTTGCTTAATATTTCCACATCATGTTCTTTCCTCATGATACCATCTATTTTGTGAAGTACACCAGCCCCTCCTGCAGCAAAACACCCCCACAACATGATGCTGCCACCCCCGTACTTCACAGTTGGGATGGTTTTCTCAGGCTTGCGAGATTCCCCCTTTATACTCCAAATGTAACGGTGGTCATTATGGCCAAGCAGTTCAGTTTCAGTTTCAACAGACCACAGGACATCTGGAATTAGTACCCAAGGATGAACCAGACTTGTGGAGCTCCACAATTCTCTTCCTGATATCTTGGCTGATTTCTTCAGATTTCCCATGTTGTCACAAAAGGAAGCAGTGTGTTTGAGCTGTACGTTAAATACATCCACAGGTGTGCCTCCAATTAACTCAAATGTTGTCAATTAACCTATCAAAAGCTTCCAAAGCCATGACATCATCATCTGGGCTTTCCAAAATAGTTTGAAGGCATCTTAGTGTATGTAAACTTCTGACTTTGAAGAAAGTAGTAAATAATTCTCTCTCTCATTATTCTGGCGTTTAGCAAATAGAAATAATTTTGATAATCCTAACTGACCTAAAACAGGGAAAATTTAGCCTGATTTAATGTCAGACAGTGTCACAAAAAGGTTTTATGTCTTTTTTTATACAGTGTATTTAAACATCTGGTTTCAACTGTATGTAAATTGCTGCTACCGCCCTGTAAATTTGATTCAGCTTCATTATGTTTTGAATAAAGACAGAGGTTCTTAGTTTTGGTTCCTCCTTTGTTTCTTCCAGCTGTCAAGTGAGTTTGCTCTGAACCCTGCGGTTTGTGCTTTGATGTAATCCAGTACAGATGAAGGACGTGCTGTAAACTGTTTTTGCTTGTGCATGCCCGACTGCCCTCCGGTAAGGACAAACAGATCCCCCGTTGCAACTTGATCACCTCGACATGAATTAAATGTTATTTACTCCTTGGATGTTGGAGAGCGTACTAAAGAAAAGCATAGATTAACACTTTTACTTTTTCTTGTCTATTTGGTATGATGTTTAATATAATACCATCTATTGTAAGTCTGACTGGGGTTTGTGGAGCACACATGGAATCAGAGTCAATTGGTATTCTTCAAACCTAACCCATAATTCAGAAGAAGAAGGAGGAACTACAAGAAGAAGAAGAACTGCAAGACACACAACTACTAGAGGAAGAGCCACAAGAAGAACTACAAGCAGAAGAACTACAGCAAGAAGAAGAACTACAAGAAGAGGGTAACCAGAAGAAGAAAAACAACAACCACAACTAGATTAACACAACTAAATGGACCAAAAAAACAAAGGATGAGAAGAACTACAACAAGAAGAAAAAGAACTACAAGAGGAAGCACTACAACAAGATGAAGAACTACACAAAGAAGAGGAACTACAGGGATGAAACGATGAACAGGAGGAGCCATAAGAACTCTAATAGGTGAACCAAACAAACTAGCTACAAAAAAGAAGACGCGCAGGAAAAAGAAGAACCACGAGAACTACGAGGAGCTGAACTAAAACTAGAAGAACCAGAGGAAGACGAGCAACTACAAAGAGAATAATAAGAATAACCATCAGGAGAACTACAAAAAGAACTACAACAACCACAAGAAGAAGAAAAACAGCTACTACTAGTGGGGAAGAAATGGTTGACATGCTTTGAAAATAATTGCTTTTTGTACGTAAGTATGCAAGCTATTGGCAGCTTATGATAAATATACTTTTCTTTCATGTTTTTGTTTATAAAAACCCAATTCTTTCCACTATGAATCACTGTATACACACATTTCCCCATTTTGCAAAGCTCACTGGGAGTCAGGACAATTGCAGT